AGCCACAGTGCTATTTCCAGCTTTTTCTGTTCATGTGGGACTGAAGAATTGAACCCAGGGCTTCATGCATGCTAGGCAAACACTCTACCACTGAGCCACATTTGCAGCCCATATTTTTTATTTTTTTTATTAAATAGTTGTACAAAAGAGTAATCATTTAACAAAGCAGTTTTTGAATACAATATCTCTTGGTCAATGTTATCCCTTTCAACATTCTACCTACCCCTTCCTTTCCCACCCTCTCCCTCACTCTACTTAATTTTTTAGAATCTATACAGGATTCCTGACTGCATTTTTTTAAAATGTAGTAAAGTCAGGGTTAGGGATTGAACCTGGGCTCTTAGACTTTTTAATTCTTGACTTCTAGTCTCTTTTCCCACTGTATTTTCACCTCACTCTCAGCCAGGGTTTTAGCCTTGAATTCTCCATTCTCCTGCCTTATCCTCCACAGTGCTGGGGTTACAGATGAGCATCATAACACCTAGTACCCACCATATCTTCTGTGTGTGTGTGTGTGTGTGTGTGTGTGTGTGCGCGCGCATGCGTGTGCACATGTGCGAGTGCATGCACGTGTTTGTTTGTGTGTACACATACCAGTACTAGGACTTGAACTCAGGGCCTGGGCACTGTCCCTTAGCTTTTTCACTGAAGGCTTACTCCTTACCACTTGAGCCACACCTCTACTTCTGGCATTCTGGTGGCTAATTGGAAATAAGACTCATGGACTTTCCTGCCTGGGCTGGCTTTGAACTGTGTTTCTCAGATCTCAACCTCCTGAGTACCTAGGATTACAGGTATGAACCACCAGCACCCAGCTTACCATATCTTCTTTAATGAAAAAAATATATTTCACCTGTTTTTTTCATTAAATAATGTTCTATTGTGTGACTATATCACATATTGTTTATTTATCTCTGATAATAGGCCATTAGATTGCTTATACTTTGCCTATTATAAACATTTATCTTTGATAAATTTGTTTTTGAGGTATCTTTGAATATCTATTTCTAGTTCTTTTGGATCTATAACTAGGATTATGATTTCTAGGTCATAATACTTCTGTGCTCAATTTTAAATAAGTTGTGAGATTTATTTAGAAGTCAGAATATATTTTACAAAAAGAACACTTATCTATGTTTAAAAGCCATACTTAGTTCATAATAAAAGTAAATGATTGTAATGGTTATTCTTGATCTGCATCCTAAGTGCCCTGAGGTTAAGAAACTCCAGGTTTTATAGACCATTGCTTGACTTTGAAGCTTTTCTTGCTGAGGAGGTAGGTTAGAGAGGGTACTAGATAGTGGCCTTGGTTTCTGGACATTTCTCCTGGCATGATGGAAGAAGTCTTCAGTAGGAAAGAATGTAAGGAGCCTCAGTTTATCATGCAACAAGAAAAGGAGCTGTCTCAGATAAGGACAATTGCTGGGAAAATGCATACATAAATGGCAGTAACAGCAACTATTAGGATTTATATAACTGGTTCCTTCTGAAATTGCTGGTTCATTCTAAATCAGTGACAGTCTGAGTAGTTAATAGCATTGTCATGCATTTGTGTGTATGTGTGTGTGTGTGAAATGGTTAAGGAGAAATTATTGTTTCTAGCACCTGAGTTTGTAATGACTGTCTGGGTACTGGTTGCTACACATATAATCCTAGCTACTAAGGAGGCTGAGATCTGAGGTTCACAGTTGAAAGCCAGCCTAAACAGAAAAGTCCATGAGATTCCTATCTACAATTAATCAGAGAAAAGCCAGAAGTGGAGCTATAATTCAAATGGTAGGGTGTCAGCTTTGAGTGGAAAAAGCCAAGCAAGAGTTTGAGGCCTTAAGGTCAGGACCCAATACTTACACACACACACACACACACACACACACACACACTTATGACTACTGTCTTAGGGGACAGCAAAACGAATTAGTTATAAATATATACAAATATGTTCTAGGTCTCCACTATATGGATCTGTGTCCAGATATGGCAGCCTTTGCAAAAATACAATTTATAATAATGATGAGCCCTTTTTAGTGAGCTATAAATCACACTACTATGATAAATGGTGTTTCTTTTCCATTTCCAATCTGTTTTTATGCCTTAGTTAAAACTTTCTTAGAATTTTATTGCTTAGAACTGCAATATTTTAATTCAGTGATTTTTTAAAATTAAAATCCCAGCTACTCTGGAAACAGAAATCAAGAGTATTGAAATTCATGGCCAGCCTGGGCAAACTATGATCAGGACTGGGTTTCCACAACAGGCTGAGCATTATGAGTCATATCTATAATCACAGAGGCATAGGTGGAAGGACTTCAGTCTTAGACTAGCCTGAACAAAAAATACAACATCCTATTTAAGAAATTACAAGTAAAAATGTGATAGTGTCATACTCAAGTGGTACAGCACCAGCCGTGTAAGTGCTAGGTTCTAGTATCAGGAGAAAAAATAAAATAAACATAAAAGAAGCTAGACACTGGTGGTTCGTGGGGATCTGGAGGCTCACAGA